GACTCTAAGGAGGTGGCGTGCCGTAGACCTTTTCCACATCTTCCCCGAACTTCTTCGCCACAGTAGTCGCGGCAGCCTCCAAAGCCTTATCCCACCAAGGATGGTTCGGGGGAAGAGAATTGTCGCCGTTCCATCCAGATGGGGTAGGGACGCCTTTCAGCAGCGCGTCCTCATCTACGGAGATGGTGAAGCCCTACTTCTCTGCCTCAGCCTGGGTACGAACGACTCCCTCATGGAAGTACTCACGGCAGGCTGTGCCCATCCGCCAGAGGAATGCTACGGAGTTATGATAGTGTGGCAGCAGTTCGGACCGGAAGCACTCGACGAAGTGTTGTCCTATGTTCGATGATAGGAAAGATCCTTGGCCATCCCGTTCGGCCTGAGCAACGCGCTCATCAACTTCCTCTCGAAGTTTTTGTAGCTCGACGTCTTTGGCTTTGAGCTCGGCGTCTTTGGCTTCGAGCTCGGCGTCTTTGGCTTTAAGCTCGGCCTCTTTGGCTTGGAACTCAGCTCGGAGCTTCTGCGTTTTGGCTTTTTGACGATCGAGGGCCTTTTGCAGGTCAGCGACCTGCTCCTTGCCCTTCTCCACCTCGTCCTTAAGGGATTTCACCTCGTTATCCTCATCCTCCAGCTGCTCGTCGAGGAGAGGAGCTATGCCAGCCAAAGCCTATTTGGGACATGGGGTTAGATTTGCATAGATTTTACAATATATGTTTAATAAAGGTGTAAGTTAAGTGTGATAAAGTCATACCAGACCAAGGTTGTAGGTGATCATCTCGGCTCGACTCTTCTTGGTAGGCCATTGCGTTGTTTCGCCCTTCGAAAAAATGTCGAGGAGGTAAGAGCTGGTTACCGATACGTCCTTGTTCCCGGCAAATCGAGCTGGCTTCTTGGCCCGCTGGGTGTCGGTGGTCACCTCGGCGCCTTGTGCCGATGTGGTCCCCTCTTTAGGGCAAGTCTTCTTACGCTTGAAGGACCTCGTCGGATGCTCTCGGTAGACTCGGCGCTCGGGGACCTGGTCCAGGGCAAGGTTGTCCACCTCATGCGCTGGCCCTTTGGGGGGAGTAGGCGCTGCTTCTGTGAACTTGGCAGGGGGGGCAGCGCAGGTCTGGAGAAGTTCCGCTGCATGACAAGTACAAGGAAAGAAAATTATAAGTAAACAAGTCATATGAGTAGGACTAGCATAGAGGAAACAGTAAACGAGATGACGACAACTTGTGACGTCGAAGCCTACCTATATCACTCACGGGGTCGGCGGCACAGCTCGACAGGTGGAAATGCCGAAGGAGTCGGTCATTGGTGGTCAGCTTCACCACGTGAAGGGGGGTCTTATTCCATTGAGCGATAAGGGTGTCATATTTGGCGTTCCGTCTTGGTTTCTTTCGCTGACTCGGTAGCTCGTCCAACCACTCGGATTGGAGGTCAGAAATTTTGGAAGGGGGGCGGACGAAGAAGAATTTGTTTTGCCAGTTATGAATTTTTGATTTAGGATTATTTAAGAACTTAGCATTGTTGCGGGGCATGAGGTAGGGTGAAGTATTGTTCGAGGATTAGAGATTGAGACAATAGAAGCATAGTTCTGGGTCAAACTCGTCGAGGTGAGCCCGACAAGTCATGATAAAACCAACGAGATAGCGCATCGCGTTAGGAGGAAATTGGTTCAAGGGAAAGTGATATAACTTGCTCAATTCGAGTAGGTCGGGGTGCAGGGGAAATCTCAGTCCGGCGTTGGCTTGATCTATGAAGAAGCTATAGAAGTCGGGTGGGGGATTCTTGTATGAGTCTCCGGGTAGTGGGAGTCTAAATTCCCATCCTGGGGGTAACTCAATTTTTTTCACAAGGGCGGCTATCTGGTCATCCGAGTAGGAGATGGGGTTAGATGGTGTTGCTTGGGAGGGGGTGGCACACTTTTTTGTTTTGTTGGAGGTTGTGGTCGACGAGGCTTGGAGGGCCAAAGTGACGGTCGGATTTTCTAAAGGTGTGGAGTGTGACGTAGGAGTGGACGTCCTAGTGCTCGTGGTGGACGATGAGGTGCTAATGTTAGTGGTCGAAGTTGAGGATTCTAATGGGTATGATGGTAGGACGACAATCGACGAGCATATGAAAAAAGTAAATATACATAATAAATTAACAAGTACTTTACACAACGATAACAAGAGCGAAAGGAGGGGGATGAGATCGGCGTACCCATGAAATTATCCGACATGATGCAAGTAGAGTGACGAGGTGGGCGAGCCCGGTCGATGTGGCGTGGTCGGCGGGTAGGCTTGAGGTTGCCGGCGTGAGTTCGGCGGGTAGGCGCGGGCTTGTTGACGAGGCAAGCTTGGTCGGTGAGGAGATTTTAGCTCGTCGGGACGGTAGAGGATCGTCGAGGTGATGAGGCGCGTGGTCGTCGGTTCAGCGCGGGACAGGCGGGTATGCCCGAGCTCGTCGACGGGGTGTGTGGTCGGCGGGGCGGTGTGTGCTCGTCGAAAGGAAGATTGCCGGATGTCGACTAGATTGAGAGTTTTCTTCTTTTTAGAGAGAGAATTTATGTAATATGAAGAAAGTGGAGTAGACGTTTCTTTGGAGTAATTTGAGGTTGAAAATGGTGAATGATGGGAGGTGAGTATTTATAGAGGAAGAGAAGGATTTTTGGTTAATAGGTTTGGGATGATCTTGGCCTTTCATTTGCAATTCAATCTATGGTAGAGGATGAAACTTGGGGACCAAGTTGCTTTATGTCATTTCCAAGAGGGATGGTAGGTGAAAGAGGAGAGCATGTGAGCATGTGTGATGAGGTAGGTGGGCATGGTTGGAGGGAGTGAGATCATGTGACATCCAATTTTTCACCCAACACATGGGCTCGGCAATTGTGCTCACCATTTCATAGCTCGATGGCCGCGGGCGTGGCTCTTTGCTCGACAGCTAGGCGGGATGGCTGGGCAGGTCGACAGCTCGGCATCTCGGCTCGACGGCTGGGCAGGTCGACATCTCGGCATCTCGGCTCGACGGCTGGGCAGGTCGACATCTCGGCATGTCATCTCGGCATGTTCGACATCTAGGTCAAACATATCCAAAACTTAGAGTCCTCATCACCACAACTTCTTTGTGCCTTGACCACGAAGCCACCTCCAGGCTATGGTCTCCTCGGCGACGAACCCTCTGGCCGGGCCTCCCAGGTGTCGAGGTTCCTAGGTGATCACCTTATATATTCCGCCTAGGTGACCAGCCTTAGGTATTCCACCTAACCCAGGCCGAGCTAACCTCCGCCTAGCTGGTTGAACCACACCTAGCTGACTGGACTACGCCTAGCTGCCACTAAATTCGGCCTATGGCCGGTCCCTTATGAACCACTACTCATGGCTGTATCAGGTTAGTTGATAAATTTAAACAATAAGGTAAGCGACAACAAATCTTAAAAATTGCGAGACAATATATATATATATATTACTTTATTGCGTAGTCCAATTTGGGTTCTAAATTTAAAAGTCAAATAAGTAATTATTCATACCTTACGGGTCAATATTATCTTGGACGTAAATGAAATAATCAATTATTTATAGTTTAATAAATTACTCAACTACTTAAATTTTTTATTTGGATAGTTTATACAAAAAATAAATTTATTTTAATTAATGAAACAATATATGTTTTATAATTATACTTATTATTCACATAAATTTTTAAATATATGATAAATTTTTACCAAAATAATTATATCATGGAATTACATTGTAGTCAAATCAAATTTCTGAATAAACTTTTTAAAATGACACTTATCTTGAATAAATATAATGTAATTTATTATCAATTATGTGCACAGTACGGGTTGTGTTCTATAAATATAAATATTTTACGTAATTTTGCACAATTTAAATTTCTTATAACATTTTCAACAAACTAATATAAGTAAATTGTTTTACATATTGATCTAATATTTTTAATTTATAAATATTATTTAATTGATATTATTAATTTATAAATATTAATTAAAATTTCTTACCCGTGCATCGCACGGGATTCACACTAGTTTGTCAAAGTTAAGTATAGATTTGTGTATATTATCAAATCATAAAAAATATTAAATCCATATTGTAAAAAAAAATTCATATAATTTTATAACAATTCTACTACACTATTTAACAATATTCCTTTTTTATTATATAATAAAATAATAATTAAATATGGTGAACAACAATAAGTAAAACTGTTACTTTCTCTTATATCAAGGGATAAATTTATATGCTAAAATTAAATTTTTATTAGTATAAATGTTTTAGTGAGATAATATATTAATTATTTTACAAGCTAGCCCTAACATGATCATATTTAATGTTTTAAAAGATGTAGAAAAAAAACTTATAATAACTCTATTGTTTTTTAGACTTAAACGTTGATTAAAAGAGGTAAAAATTCCTAATTTTTTAGACTTAAACGTTGATTAACACCATAGATTGAGAGTTTATATTTAGTAAAATTCCTAATTGTAATAAAAAAATTAATTTTTGCTATATTTTAGAATATCTTTAAATTCATTATAAAAAAAAAGAAAAAAAAAACTACAATGAAAAAAACAAGTCAGCTATATATCGATTTGTTGTACTCCTCAAATCACATTCACAATTTGGCTACAAGGAAATGAAACTCATTGATTAAAATATTATTTTGTCAGTAGTCTTAATGTACAAGAGACTTTAAGACTCCACTTGAATATTATAAAATTTTTATTGAACATCGTACAATTTCTTGCGTATTATAAACTTTTATTGAATATTGCATCTTATAATATAATATTCTCTATATATTCCGTACATTTTTCTTTATTCATGTATATAATTATAAGTCTGGATAAATAGCCTTAAAATTGTGCACCCCGTGCATCGCACGGGCTCTGTACTAATTGAAAATTATTTTTACACTAATCCTCGTTAAGAAAATAAATAAAACATCAAGAATTCTAAAGTTTACTTAAATATGGACTCTCAACGGTGAGATTCTTCCCTTTTTTATATGTATGTATGTCCGGCGTTGTATCCTTTCAATTTCTACTAGATCTGATTCTCAATTCCTCGTTCAACGTTGTATTCCACCTAACCTCCTCCACATCTGCACCCAACATAAATATTTAGGTTAAATTATCCCCTAATTCCCCAAACCACGCACAGATCAAACTATTTGTGGTCATCGGTGGCTGTTATCGTCGGAGTGTGAATTCTGCTAATGGCGGGCGTTTCGTTGAAATGTGGAGACTGTGGGACGCTCCTCAAATCTGTGGAGGAAGCTCAGGAGCACGCAGAGTTGACCAAGCACGCGAATTTCGTTGAATCCACTGAGGCCGTCCTCAATTTAGTCTGCTCCGACTGCGGCAAGCCTTGCCGCTCCAAAACCGTACGTTTATTCTGCTGTATTTTTCATGCCGATTGTGTGAGTACCGTGTCCAGAGGTGATTGTGTTGATTGTTAAGTACTATTGAGCATTCTTTAGTTGATAGTTGCTTGATTGCTTGTTTTTGAAATAGAATTGATATTGTCTATAAATCCTTTCACTTGTCTATTTGCTTGTAATTGGCAGTTGTTCAGAATGCTTGTGGTCCTGTTGGGTTGCCTGAGAAACTAGATATAATGGAAAGGGTTTGGACCATTGAATAAAAATTAGGGATCTTTTGCATGAAATAGTTTGCTTCAATATCTTATTTTGTTTTAAATGAAATATGATATTTTCGCTTGGTTGCTAGGGAGCCATGATATTTTTGTCCACTTCAAATGGAGCTGGAAGAGTTATTGTTGACAATTCTCCTAGCATAGTGCTAATAATGGACTAGATCAAAATGACTCAATTAAATTCTAGTGCTTCTTCTATTAGTGAAGTTTCTAGAAAAAAAAAAAAAAAGAAAATATCAAATGGCGCAATGCACCTTGGGTCGCTACGGAAACAGCCTCCTTGTATAATTACAAGGGTAAGGTCTGACCCCCCAGATTGGGAATGTACTGGGTATGTTGTTGTTGTTGCTAGGGAGCCATGAAAATCTGATGATAATGATTCATTTTCCAAATTTTCTCCTTGAATGTTTTCCTTTACAATTCAATTGTATCTGCATAACTAAGGCACTGCATATTTTTCAAATGAGTCACTGATTACAAACTTCAGATGGTTCGTAAAAAGATTGTTCATTTTTTACTTTATATTGATTGTCTTATATGTTGTATTATATCCTTCACTTCAAGTCTTCAACTGAGATGTATTGAACACTAGCTTCTGAAGTTCTTCCATTGGACCTATGCCAGTTGTACTTCCCTGAAAACATTATGAGCCATCATTATCAAGGGTTGTTCTTCCATTGGACGTGGGCCGTTTATAAACGTTACTTTGCCAATTGCATAAAAAATTGACCTTACAGAAGCCAATTAATTTACCGAGTCAATTCAATAGTTTACAGTTTGAGAGATGTGGTTTTGCTGGTCTCTAATATGTTATTCTGGTGAATTCAGGAGAGTGATTTGCACACTAAGAGGACCGGGCATACTGAATTTGTGGATAAGACTTCAGAGACTGTCAAGCCAATAATTTTGGAGGCACCGAAGCTTAATGATGATGTACAGATGGAAAAGGCTGATGTTGGTAGTAGTAGTCAACAAGAAGGTACTGTTAGACTTTTTTGTTTTGATGGTCAATATGATAATGCCTTTTCATGTGCATACTATGCAATGTCCCTTAAAACTTCGGCTAGGACATTTTTGCTTTCACTTTATTGGTCCTTATGTTATTCTTTGAAGTGATCCAAGTTAAGTATCTGTAGTTCGAATCTCTGGACACGTGTCTTCTAATCTTAATAGGTTTGGTAGGACATAATATAGTTATCGAAGGTGTGCCCTGTGCAATCTAGCCTCCTTAGACTCAGGTTCTTAGAGCGCGTCAGAAGACTTGGGCTTTTTTGACATTTCAGTTATGGGCCGTTTTGCATTTAAAGTTCTTATAAATATATGAAAGCCTATAAATCAATCTATTTTACTTAAAAACTATATGACACTGAGTAGTTAATCAGAAAAATGGGGTTTGACGAAAATGAAGGTGAAGATACAGAAAATGATTTAGTTGTAGTTTTAGTTTTAGTTTTTAGTGATGGTGAAGGCGTTTTTGACATGGGGTGAAGTGGGTAGTGCAAATCCTGGCGGCAGTTCCAAATGTTCACCGGCAGTTGGTGAGAATCGAAGGCAGTGAGGCAGATTCATATTATTATTAACCAGGGAGGAAGTTGGAGCATACAAGCCAGGTGGTGGTGGAGAAGATTCCACTGGTTCGTTTAGGGGGTGGTCCTTAGAAATTGGGGAAGAATCTAGATGAAATAGTAGACTTGTTCATAAATTTTGATGTTTGTGAATCGTTGCACTGTGATTTTGTGCTTTGTATTCTATATTTTGAATTATCTGGCCTCATGGATTTAAAAATCTCCATCACCTTTGTTGTTTGTCTAAGAATTGTTATGATTATAATGGTTGGTTCATATGGTTTGAAGTTATATTAAATGATATCATGTTCTTTGATCACTTGAAAGCAATATGAATAATCTTGTCAAAAATATGCGCCTTGCTCGAGTGAGGTGAGTTCTTTTTTGGTGCCTCGTAATTAGTGCCATACCACATTTTTTTTGCACGTTGTGTTTGAAAGGCACGCTTTCAGATTGGGCTCAATTTGGTTTACTGTTGACTCTTATAACTATTGCCAATAATGTTGTGGACAATCATCTTCTGGATGACTCTTCCTTAATTGGAGAGCTTAATAGCTTATGTTCATTTTTCTTCTCATTTTAAAGATAATTGTTTAAACCCTGCCTTTTTTTTTCTAAAAAAAAAAAGGAATTGGGAAAACATTTGCGACACACTTCTTTATTTATGACGAGTCTTTTCTATTCATGTGTGGCTGTGGCTTTTAAAAGTTCGTCTTTACTACAGCTTAGTGCAGTTGCCTCATAATTTTTTGTTGTTTAGAAATGGTGGTTCCAGAAGTAAGCCAACAACTGTTAGCAGAACTTGAGGAAATGGGATTTTCCAAAGAAAGGGCTATTCGTGCACTTCACTTTTCTGGTATGTCCTTATTAGCATTAAACTTGACTATTGTTATAGTTTCTTTCCCTCTATTGCTGAGTCCACTATAACTCACTCTAAGGAGAATTTTGTTTTTGTGTTTTGGATGCTCTGCAACGCTTTCTTCTGTTTTTTCTTTGTTGTTGCTCCCAATTGGTAGATATGTGTAGACATTTTTGAGGTTTGACTTGCTTGGTTAGCATGAGGCAGTTGTCTGATCCTGGAAAGGAATTTGATTCCTTGGAATAAGGGTTTTTGTCTATTTCTTTTTCCTGACTAGTATTAACTATCTATGATTTCAAACTTCCATACCATGCTGATATCTGTTTTATTATTAGTCTGTTGATTGATGCATGCTACATGCGTTGTAAGATGTTCTCTACTGCCTTTTGTCTTTGCCAATCATTTTTTGCACCAAGGTTGCATAAAGATAATATGCTTTTGATGGGTCTTCACCGTCTGAGACTGAAGTATCTTTTTAAGGGTTGTGTTGATTAGCCTGTCCAGATGGGTCGGATGATGTGGGGCTAGGGGAAGGACATAGAGTTGGGGGTGGGAAGTGTAGGGGTAAGGAAGAAGTAGGTTGGTGCATGGGGTGTGGGGTGGGAGATGGTGTGGTAGGAGTAAAGGGCCAATGTAAAAGAAACTAAATATTATTGAAAAAAATGTAAAAAAGAACACAAGGTTCTCCAAGGACATGAAGTTCTCCTTGGGAAATAATCCTGCCCAAGCTAAGAAGACGACAAACAATATTATCTCTCTTAATACCTAATCATCATTTCCTCACAACCCTTTTATAAGCATATTGTTTATTTAAGGTAATAGTTATAAAGAAGAAAGATGATAACAATTTGATAGCTTTCCATGCCAAGTAGGATCCATCCCATGATTCCAGTCAATCCCTTGATTTGTGTGTTACTTATTTTATTTCATTCTCTTCCCTTCCCATTGTTTGCTTCCCTAATCTCTATCATTGCGGCCCGCCAGAAAACAGCCTTGTCCTCAAGGCTGCAAAGAAAAAAACTTTGTCCAGTAAACGGCAAAACTAGACGACCCTTGTAAAAAAGAACACCATTGATTATTGCATAGGGGCCACGAGTCTCATCATGCAGACTCGAATAGCGAATTATATCCCCCCCAGTCCTCCGTTTGCGTTGGAGAAGAGAAGACATTTGCCATGAATTCGTTTGCCTTGATTGTGTGATAAATGTGTGGGTACTGCTCATCAATAAAAATATGTTCATTAAGAGTGCATAAATCCAATCGGGTTTGGAGAATGGGCACCTTGGCAATCTCATGAGGTTGTGAAGCCGATTGCACCAAAACTAGTGGTACAGAGGAAGTGGAGAGTGGATTTGGATTTGCAGCCATTCTCCAATTTTAAAATTTCTGCATGATTCACACAAACTGAGGCTGTGGAATCCACATTATACAAGACGTTGACATGATTCACTTGGGAGGTGGCTAGAATGTTGTGCTTGATTGATAAAAATCGTGTGACCAACTCTTAAGTTTGGTGATGGCCTCCCTGACATTAGTAAGTCGGCACTCGAGCACCTCCTGACCCTTCTCCAAGGCTTCAACGGGAAAGTCAATATGCGTCATTCGTAGTGGCAGGTTGGACCAATTGATAGGAGTAAAGGGCCAATGTAAAAGGAACTAAATATTATTAAATAAAATAAACAATGTAAAAAAGAACACAAGTTGTCCAAGAACATGAAGTTCTCCTCGGGAAATAATCCCGCCCAAGCTAAAAAGCCGACAAACAATATTATCTCTCTTAATACCTAATCATCACTTCCGCAGAACCATTTTATAAGCATATTGTTTATTTAAGGTAACAGTTATAAAGAAGAAATATGATAACTGTTTGATAGCTTTCCCTGCCAAGTACGATCCATCCCGTGATTCCAGTCAATCCCTTGACTTGTGTGTTACTTATTTTATTTCATTCTCTTTCCTTCCATTATTTACTTTCCTAATCCCTACCATGGTGCTGGATGAGTCTGTTTGGAATGGATTTTCCTTTTTCTAGCTTTATGGGGGACAAGTTGAACTTTTTTAATGTCACAAGTTGAATGTCATGTCCAACATGGAAGCAACAAGAACACTATTTTGGTAAGCATTCAATGTCAACGTGAAGTTCAAATCGGTTATCGCCACATGAAACAGCGAAGGAGCTCGGAAGGGGGAGGCTAAGTTTATAGCAACACATGTGCGAGCATTATTATGACTGGATTTAGACCGAGTGGCATCATCCACTTTAAGCAAAGTGCCGACTATATTTACAATGTTCCTAAGAGATCTTAAGTTAAAGCAATGTATTGGGAGGCCATGAATTTTAAACCAAACCTGAACATTGGGCAGCTCATTTTAAAAATTGAAATCCGGTGTTGACATGAAAATCCGCATTGGAAAATTGAAAGTTCTGTCTTCATCTAATGTTTTTTAAATGTTTCCAGATTGTATTATTCGCTAGTTATTAGATGTGCAGATATTGGTTTATCTCTGTCTCTCTCATGCAAAGACATACATGAGAGATTCCTAATGTTTAGTGTGTCAAGGCCATTGATGTTTTTCTGATATTTGTTGAGATATTTAACAAAATAAGATATAAGATGTTGGTACTTTTGGTTCTCCCAGGTAATAGTAGCCTTGAGGATGCAGCAAATTGGATAGTTGAACATGATAATGACCCAGATATCGATAAAATGCTATTGGTATGAGTTTTTACATCTATTTTTGGCAACCATTAGTTGACATATTTGTACTTTTCTGAAGTTATTATATGAAGTTATGATTAACCTTGTTGCACAGGTACCTGTTAGTTCCAAGCAACCTCAGGCTCCAAAGCCATCTCTCACACCAGAAGAGCTTAAGCTGAAACAACAAGAATTAAGGTGATCTTCAACTGGATTCTTCGCATCCCTTACCGGCTGTTCTTACACTGTTTTCTTGTCATGTTTTCTCATAATCAGTATGCACATCGTATATATTACAATTGGTTCTTGCACTTTCCGCGACTAAAAGCGGAACCTGTTGTTGCACTACTTATATATTCGTCATCCTCAGACTTTTGTTGTCCTATACAGATGATCTTTTTTTCGTACTCAATGGAAAATCATTTTTTTCGTTCTGTTTGCCCTACTTGCCACTTTGTTCTCTCAGGGAACGAGCTCGCAAGAAGAAAGAAGAGGAAGAAAAGCGAATGGAAAGAGAAAGAGAGAAGGTAGATTCTAATTTTATTTCTTCTCTTCTAGATTTATATAATACCTGCTTCTATTCATTGACACCATGAATCTGGGATCCATGGAGTTACTGCTGACAATTTTATTTTGTGATATCATCTTGCAACTGATAATAAATATGAATACTCCGCATTAACTGATAATTATGTTTCTCTACAATTATTTGCAGTTTTTCCATACGCATTATTTCATGCAATTTCATTGTTGACATTTTCTCAGGAAAGAATTCGTGTTGGAAGGGAGCTGCTGGAAGCAAAGCGCATTGAAGAGGAAAATGAAAGAAAACGGTGTGCCATTATCTGTAGTATATTTCAATTCAGATTTCTGTATTATTGTTTGATATTCTCAATGGGTTGGGTGTTTGCTCTTACAGTATACTAGCCTTGCGGAAAGCAGAAAAAGAGGAAGAAAGAAGAGCTAGGGAGAAGATTCGTCAAAAGTTGGAGGAAGATAAGGTACTTATGATGTAAATATTTGATGTTTGATTTATTGTAATCAACTACTCACCTTTACCAATGTTTAATGCGGTCATTAGACCCACTTTCCTACATTCTATTTATTATATTCTAGTGCTCTAGTTTATGCATTCAGGGTTTCTACAAATGGGACTATGTCACCTGTCACGATAAATTTATCCTAATAATTAATTCTTCTTCTTTCATGCAGAACGACAATAAGAACTAATTTTTACCTGAATAGTTTTCTTTTCATCCTCTTTAAAATTTAAATAATTGTTTCTCGAGGTCTTGTACTAAGTGATTTTCTGGGTTATGACAGGCTGAAAGAAGAAGAAAACTTGGGTTGCCCGTGGAGGAATCATCTGCTGCAAAATCTTCTGCTCCGGTGGTGGAGGAAAAAAAGGTATTGGTTTACCTGATTTTCCAGTGAAGTAGTCTGCTCCCGTTCTCGTCTCTTAACCCTTGTTTGTATCTTAAAATTGAAATACAGAGCTTCCTTCCTGTCCGACCAGCTACAAAGGCAGAGCAAATGAGGGAGTGCCTAAGAACCCTTAAACAGAATCATAAGGTAATTACAACTTAGTATGTTTATTTAATAAAAAAAAAAGGAAACAAACAAACTCTGGTTTTGTATCTTTGTACTTACGACTTTTCACTATCCCATGAACATTACATTTTAAGGTTTCATATGGTGGAAGAATATTCAGCCTTGTTAAATGTGAATGGAAAATGATACATTTTGTTCTCATTAGATTATTACATGCTTTTGTTTTGTCTTTGCGTCTCCATATTGTGATGAATGAGCTGCACGTTTATGGGCATTTTCCCGAAGATCTGAGTGTAGACTGATACTATCTACTCCACGATCTGACTGCCATAATATGCATTCATTTTTATTTGCTAGGTCTGTAAGACATACTTTGTCGTGTATCTTTGTTTTCTTAATTGAATAGGATGATGATGCTAAAGTGAAGATGGCTTTCAACACGCTTTTGACTTTTGCAAAGAATGTGGCAACAAATCCGAATGAGGAGAAATTTCGCAAAATTAGAATCACCAATGCTAATTTTCAGGTGCAGTTTGTTGAACTGTTCTGTTGAGCTTACTTGGTCATTTTTTTTGGTTGTTTATTTTTTTTTTTTTCCGTAGTAGGAACATGTTTTTCTATTCTTTATTTCTTAGTGTTAGCTGTTTAATTGTGAATCGCAGAGATGTGAACTTCAAAGTGATTGAAGTAAATTAAAAATGGTGGCCCCTGGTCACCCCATATACCAAGCTATTTTAAAGGAATATGAAATATATATATATATATATATGTGTGTGTGTGTGTGTGTGTGTGTCTGTATAAAAATAAACGTTCTTTCCAGATCATACACGACGAATCTAAAAATATAAATTAATTACCAACTCATAAGACTTTCATTTTTCTTCTCTGGTAGCCACCTACATTTTGGCTACTTTATTTACTTATTTATTTTCTGACAGATATTTATGGTGATGTAGTATTCGCTTAGTATTTAACTTCCTATATGTGTGGTTATCCTCAAAAGTTGGTTTTGTAAATCACCTTTGAATTGTGATTTGCAGGAGCGAGTTGGAAAACTGAAAGGAGGCATAGAGTTTCTTGAACTGTGTGGATTTGAGAAAATGGAAGGGGGAGAGTTTTTGTATCTTTCTAGAGAGAAAGTTGATATTGCGGTGCTCCACTCTGCTGGAAGTGAGTTAAACAGTGCTATCAATAACCCCTTCTTTGGAGTTCTTTGACCTTCCCTTAGTCGTAAATCTTCTACGTTGTCTGGATGTTCGTTTCTATTCCCTGTTTTACCATTATAGGAATCATTCTGGAATGGACTCATTGGGGTAAAAATTTAATTTCCCAAAAGAATGCCTCATCTTTCCCATTTACTATTTCGTGTATTTTCTGAAAGTATACACAATTGTTCATTTGACTGAGATGGTAGATCAATAATGTTTTTGGTTGTGGATACACTTTGAGAATTAGACAAATCTTGGGGATTTAATTTAATTCTAATAATTTACGAGTTATTGCAATTTGATCATTGGGGTTAATTCGTAATTTATTTAAAGTTTGAATAACTTCTCTCTATCCCTAGGCTTTTTTATTATTTGATTAGTGCATATTTAGGTAATATGAAATGCATATTTAGTTTCATACATAATGCATATTTAGGTCAGAACATAAACATAAAGGCAGTAGAAGGCTTTAGGATATTGTTGTAAATTTCATATTTTGACTGCACATTTAGTACATATGAAATACACATTTATTTCATACAAAGTGTATATTTGGTTTATAAACATTGCATAACTAGTTGATATTATTGTTGCACATTTAGTTTATTAAAAATACATATTTTGTTAATACAAAATGCATATTTAGTTCATATTAACTGCATATTTCAAGTGCAAATTTACTTCATACACAATTCGTTTACGGTTCATACAAATTTATATGTAACATGCATATTTAGTTTATATCAACTGCATTTTAGCTTACATATTTAGTTCAAACAGGTCAATATATTTTTTCTATTATATACTTAATTGATATAATATATTTTGATTGATATTACATAATTATCGTAATACATAATGTATATTTAATTCATTCATTATGCATATTTATGTAATAAAAAAAATATATTTAGTCATCATAATGCATATTTAGTCAACGTGAGGTCAAAATCATAACCATTTATTTGTATAGATTAATGACTCACATTAATCAATTGAAATTTACATTAATTATATAATAAAAAATAATAGTTATTATATTTAAATTAATCATATAAAATGCACATTTAATTGCATGTTTTCACTGCATAATTAGTTCATGCAAAATCCACATTTAATTCGTACGTAGTGCAAATTTAGTTCATGAACAATGCATACTTAATTGATATTATTGTTGCACATGTATTTCAAAAAATTGTATATTTAACTTATAGTAAATACATATTTAGTTCATGTCAGCTGCATGTTACGAGTGTTATTTTCTTCATACATACAGCATACTACGGTCAATGGTCAACGTTAGAAGTCAACTGACAATGATGGAAGTCAACACCGAAAGTCAACAGTAAATGCAAGAGAAAGGCCAAATGGTCAAATGATTATTTAAATAATAAAATTAAAAAAATAAAAGATTAAATTTTTGCTGCATATTTTGTTCTTTATGTAATAGCTATGATTAAGTCGCATATACTCACTTTAAATAAGTGAACTTATTATATATAAACATACGGACTTTCTATTATGATTCAAAACAATGGAAGATAATAATACGAATAGAAATTGTTAGAAGCATGGTTTTCAAAACCGGACCGGATTGGCCGGTTCGACCGATACAACTGAGAACCGGCCAGTAAACCGGTTCGGGTTGATGTATAAAACTGCTTAGGTCTGAAACCAGTGTCAAATCGCCTGAACCGGTTTTAAATCGGTAAAATCGGAAAACCAAAACAAGTTCATCTGGCCCAACGGCTTCATTCACGAGCCTCTGCAGGTGATGTTTTTATCAGCTAATGTTATCCTTTAAAAAGCCAATTCTTTTTCTTGATTTTTCCTATGTGGGATTTTTTGTCTTGTGCAATGCTTTATTAATATTTTTGGCCTTTTGCCTTTAAAACCCAATACGTTACTCATTAGTTTGTTACAGATGTACCACATCAACTTATTTGATGTTCTTTTATAATTTCAAATGTATCAGTAATTCAACATATGTGTTAGTAATTTGTAAATTTTTTGATAAATAAAAATAAAAAAAAATCTGAAAAGAATAAAAAACATAAAAAATGATTTAAAAATTAAGGTACAAATTAGTTGTATCTATTCTCTCTATTATGTAACTTAAATATAAATCAAGATATAAAAAAAATAATATAAAAATATCAATATTATTTAACATTGACCACTACATTTAATATTGAACTTTTATTTAGAGAATGTCATTATACACTATATAATTAATGATGAAACTATATACAATCATATATTATACATATAATGTAACGCCCCACTTTGATTTTAAAGAAATTCCGGACTTTCCAAAAATCAGTAAAGCATTTTTCGAAATCATTTTCGAAAACATGGGCATTATTCACAACATTTACAAAGTCCAAGTCATATCTGGACCCACGGGGATTCATAAACCCGGTTTTTCACAAGGTTTTCGTCAACTCATTTCACAACATCTCACAAGATATTCAGCATGAATAATCAAAACATATTATTCAATAAAACACGTACCATGAATATCCAAAATCAACAATCCCAAAACATACGTACAATAAATAACTAATGACCACCCACTCGTCTTGCTTCGTCATCCGCCACCTGCTTAACCTGCATCCGTGAAGAGCCAGGTGGGAGTGAGCACAAAAGGAAACCGTAATGCTCACCACTATGCACATAAATAATAAAATGTTAAGATAGTATGGTTGCAGTATGAATGTAAATCAATCATTATCATGTCTCATCTCATATCAATAACATAACAATAACTTACTCATGTGTACATCTATCATTAGTCGCGGAAAGGGGATGCATAAACCCTAACGACGGGAGTGCGTGCACGCAAGGACACGGCCTTTCATTAGGTCTTAAGGAGATTTTGCCTCGCAAGGGCAACCATACCGTAACTCGACGGGGACAACCGTACCGACGGCCGTAATAGCTCACATCAGTAGGCCACATGGTTTACATACATGGATTGATCATACTAACGAAACACTTAAACACATATGGCATAGAAATTTTAGAATAACGAACCCACCTGGTATCTCGGAAAGGCAAAAACACAACAGGTAGTGACGTAGGTTGAGGCTCGACTCCTCAAACACCTACAATAAGTCAAGATACTACAATCAACACCTATCTTAACCTTAGAAGGAAAACACAAATCATACTGAGTCGAACTTGATTCAACTAAGTTGTTCGTGGAGTCCTGTGGACATTGGAACACTTGGACCTAGCACTTAGACTCGACCAACACAATCATGGGAAAACATATAAATTCAAATAAAGGATGGCCTAGACAAGTAACAAGGAGCAACATATATACTAGATTACCCAAAATTTCAGACTTAATCATAATAAGCTAATTGTTTGAAATATTTGACGAAAATATCACCTATCCAGGTTCGTCAGGTAAATGAACAAGTTAGGCTCTGAAATTCTAACACAAAATTCACATCACTGGACATAGCAATACCACCAAGTTTAAGCCCTTAACTCAAAATACCCAATTTTATAAAATTAAAAGAAGATTTTAGCAAAAACGAGCATGAATTCATAGTCTGACCAAATGAATGATTTAAGCCTAGAAATTTATACACAATCAACTACAGCACATTCACGATTTTAACAAGGCCTCATTCGATTTCACAAAATTGAAGAGATCATTACATAAGACAAATACAAATGAAGCTATTCATATATATATCAACAAGGTCTAAAAATTCAGATAACATTCACATGAATAACACATCACATATAAATCGAAAAGAGACAAGGTTCAAGCCGTCGATACCGTTCTCGGGAAAGATGCTCAAAAATAGAACGTGAGAGGCTGACAGGGACGACGACAATCACACGGCAGCGCACGGCGGCTAACACGCAGCTCGCGGAGGAGAGGGCAACGGCTCGAAGGTGCTGAGCGGCGTTTCGGCTCGCTGCTGGGGTGATCGTGCCTCTGCCGGTTCGCGATGGGGAGTTGTGCGTGGACAAGGTCTCACCGAAATCGCGACGAGAGCTCGCGGAGGAGAGGGGCTCGCCAGAGTTGCAGGCCTGTCGATTGTCTCGCGAGCGAGGAAAGCAGCAACGAAGGACGTCGCGATGGCCAGCGGCCGATGAGCGACAAAGGGAGGGGTCGGCGGTGATCGGTTGCGAGAAAAAAAAAAGAGAGAAGGAGATGGTGGTGGCCGGATTTTTGAGCGAGAGAGAGGGAGCAGATACTACGAGAGGGAGAGAGAGATATGAAGGCTGCGGGCGTGATTATGTCGAGAGAGAGATGAGCACACATATAAAATAGACTAGGTTTAATATCTTGCTCCTCAAGACACACACACACACACGCAAGAGAGAGAGGGAGCCGAGGGTTCGGGCAGTCTGGGTCGGCCGGTTTGGCTGGGCGCGCGGTTCTTACGAGCTCGACATACGGCTCGGGTTCTCGTTTCTTCAATTACAATTAATAACGATTCGGTTCGATCGCACGGTAATTTAAAGAAGAACCGAAATACATATATATATATATATTACACACATTAATTAATTAATAATAATAAACATTTAGACAATTAATGACAATTAGACATTTAACAACAATAATAATAATAATAACAATAATAAATAACAATAATAATAATAATAGTAATAATAATAATAATAATAATAATAAAATAATCCCAAATAATTTATAAATAAACGGAGCATTACAGTCTACCCACCTTAGAAAGAATTCCATCCCCGGGATTCGAAAACAAAAGAAACTAACAACCAAAAGAAATACAAAAGACTCAAAACGAGAAGTTCGGATATCTTCTCCTAACCTCAACCTCCTTCTCCCAAGTCGCCTCAGACTCGTCATGTCGGCTCCACTGCACCTTCACCAGACTCACCGCCTGGTTCCTCAGTTGATGGACCTTATGGTCCAAAATGGCTACCAGTACCTCCTCATAGGTAAGGTCTCGCTCGACCTGCAGCTCGCCGAAGTCCACCACGTGGTCAGGATCATATCTACGCAACATCGAGACATGAAACACATCATGCACTCCCGACAAATCCGGTGGTAAAGCCAGCCGATACGCTAAGTTCCCGACTCAAGCAAGGATCTCAAAGGGTCTGATTTAGCAAGGTCGAAGCTTCCCTTCCTTTCCGAAGCGAATCACACCCTTCATGGGTGAGACTTTCAGAAAGACATGATCACCAACAACATATTCATGCTCTTGCCTCTTCCGATCGGCATAGACCTTCTGCCTCTCTTGGGCTAACCAAATATTCTTCCGGATCTTCTCAACTGCTTTCGAAGTCCTACGAATGA